GAAGAAGGAAGAGGTGGGAGAGAAAGAGGATGATGATAGGGGGAGAGGGAAAGAAAATAGGGAAATGAGAAACACAGAAGAAAATGAGAAACGAAAAAAAAGAGATGGGGAATAAAAGTATGGATAGCATAGAATAAAGAATAAAGGAATAAAGAGGGGAAGAGGGGGTAATATCAGCCAGGGGGTAGGAAGGGGTGACAGGAAGGGAAAGGGGAGGATAGAGCGATGAACAAGAAAATAAGGGATTAAAAAGAGGGGCGAACATAATCGCTAATTGTCACGTATCCAAATCACACACCATAACCAGCGCAACATAAATCAGGGTTGCATAATGCTCTTTTTTCTCTCTCTCTCTCTTTCTTTCTTTCCTTCTTTCTTTTTTTTTCTTTTCTTTTTTTCATTTTCTTTTTTTTTTTTTCTTTTTCTTTTTTTCTTCCTTTTCTTCTTCTCCTTCTCCTTCTCCTTCTCTCTTCTTCTTCTTCTTCCCTCTTCTTCTTCTTCCTTCTTCTTCTTCTCTTCTCTTCTCTTCTTTCTTCTTCTTCTTCTCTTCTCTCTTCTTCTTCTTCTACGTCTTCTTCGTTCTTCAGATCGATCTTGTGCAATTGCAAAGGTGTCGATGCTCAACATCTTCTTCCTCTTCTTCTCTTCTTCTCTTTTTCCTTCTTCTCTTCTTCTTCTTCTTCTTCGGTTCGATCTTGTGCAGTTCCAAGGTGTCGATGCTCAAATCTTCTTCCCTCCTTCTTCCTCCTTCTTTCTTCTTCTTCTTCGGATCGATCTTGTGCAATTGCAAGGTGTCGATGTTCAACATCTTCTTCCTCTTCTTCTTCTTCTTCCTATTCTTCTTCTTCTTCTTCAGATCGATCTTGTGCAATTGCAAGGTGTCGATGCACAACACCAATTCACGTTCAGGTCACGGGGGACTCGTCAAGCCACAGGGCTTTTTTGCGACAAGCCATAAGCCATTACTTTGATGTATGAAGTCTATGAAAAATTCATTAAAGGTCCGACGAGTAAATAAGCTCATTATAATTCCTTCGCTCTCCTAAATACTACTAAAATATTTTAGCCAATCACGAAGCGCCTCGTAAAACAGCCAATCTTGTTAAGTGTGTTTCATGCAGCACAAAATCTGTTATAAAATAGATTTTGGGAACACGAAAAAAAAAGGAGAAAAAAGAGTGAGTGAAAAAAGCATGCATAGTTTTCGCAATTTTCGGATAATTTTGTAATACTCTTGTTGATTATACTACTCTCTCTCTCTCTGCTCTCTTTCGCCTCTTCTCTCTCTCTCTCTTTCCTCTCTCTCTCTCTCTGTATCTTTCTCTCTCTCTCTCTCTCTCTCTCTCTCTCTCTCTCTCTCTCTTCTCCTCTTCTCTCTCTCTCTCTCTCTCTCTCTTCTTCTCTCTCATCTCTCTCTCTCTCTCTCTCTCTTCTCTTCTCTCTCTCTCTCTCTCTATCTATCTATCTATCTATCTATCTATCTATCTATCTCTATCTATCTATCTATCTATCTATCTATCTATCTCTCTATCTCTCTATCTCTCTATCTCTCTATCTCTATCTATCTATCTCTCTATCTCTCTATCTATCTATCTATCTATCTATCTATCTATCTATCTATCTCTTTCTATCTATCTATCTATCTGCCACACTCTCTTCTACCCCAAAATGCTGCCACCATATTACAAAAAAATTTTTTTCCCTTTCTTTTCTTCTAACAAACGATAACGCCATTTACGAAAATCCAAGGAAAAAAAAACAAAAACACCACAGCCCCTGAACTACGACGCATTTCCCCTGAACAATTCCCAAACCAAACCAACGACGTAGGGACCAAATTCCAGAAACACCACCGCGCTACGTGAACTACAGCGGAATTTTCTGAAAACAATTTCCCAAAACAAGTAAATGACAAAGCTACTGCATCCGAGAGAGAGAGAGAGAGAGGGGAGGGAAAGGGAAAGGGAAAGGGAGAGAGAGGGAAAGAGAGAGAAAGAGAGGGGGGGAGAGAGAGAGAGAGAGAGAGAGAGGGGAGGGAAAGAGAAGGGAGAGAGGGAGGGGGAGGAAGGGAAGGGAGAGAGAGAGAGGGAGAGAGAGACAGAGAAGAGAAGAGAGAGAGAGAGAGAGAGAGAGAGAGAGAGAGAGAGAAGAGGAGAGAAGAGAGAGAGAGAGAGAGAGAGGGGGGGGGGGGGGGGGCGGTGGAGAAAGAGAAAGAGAAGAGAGAGAGGGGGGAAAGGAAGAAGAGAGAGAGAGAGAGGAGAGAGAGAGGAGGGAGAAAGAAAGAGAAAGAGAAAAGAAAGAGAGAGAGAAAGCCACAGTACCCGAACCACACACAATTCCTAAAACAGTTCAAATTTGATTAGTTCATTTAAATCCACCCGGTGAATTTGTACCATATTTGTACCGTATTTGTACCTCTTTCGTAGCGAATGCGAGAATTTCCGGATTATCTGCCAGGCCGTAGCGTAATCTTTCGTTATCTAAAGATACTCGTGTTGAC